GAAGCAATATATAGAAAAGATTATACAAAATGTACAACAATGTACAGTGACGAATCATGTTTCATTAAATAATATAGACAAGTTCTGTCTATTTATTTTAAGTAATTTCCTTTCATATTGCCTGATAAGCTTAATAACATTATCATTGAAAGACGAAAGGAAATCACCATATTGATACATGTTTTAATCCTATCTAAGCTTTCGGCTTACATAAGCCATTATCAAAGATGGCAATTACATTTCAATATATTAAACAATACACGGACAAAACAATAATGATAATCTTTTTTTGTTGCATGAAAAATTTCAAAGCAACGACAAACTCGTGTATACGAGACGCGGAATCGAAAATCGAATCGCAGCTCGTGACGTCACACATGATCACACCCGAGGGAAAACGAGAAGTATTAAGTATGAAAAACCGTTGGTATAAACCAATGGCTTCGGTTTTCAATTATAGGCATTTAAGAATATTTGTGGAGATTTCCTAAAATTCTTTTATAAGCAGGTTAGGTTTCAACTGTTTTTATGTATATAGATTCAAGAAATTTTAGTTTTTTTTATTGTTTTAAGTATAAATGTGTTTTATTTAAGTTTTAAATATATATATATATATATATATATAATATATATATATATATATATATATATATTGAAACTATTTAAAAAATATTTTTCAATCCAATATATAAACTGTTTATATAAATATGTATATATATATTTAATTAATCAGACCTACAATTTTTTTTTCGTTTTAAATTTGTAGATCTGATGAATTGATCGTATTTACGATTCCAATGATAAATAAACAATTATGAATATGGAATATTAGAGTTTAATTTAATTTTTTTATATCTTTAAAGAAAAAATCTGGACATTGAGTTCTACTTGATTCTATCCTCTTGAAATTTTTTATTTAAAAAATATATACATATATGTGTATGCACTCTATGTATATATATTTATATATTTTGCATATGTATGTGTATTTTTACCACTATTATATATATATATATATATATATATATATATATATATATATATATATATATATATATATATATATATATATGTATATATTTTATATATATATTTATATATATATATATATATATATATATATATATATATATATATATATATGAATTTTTCATACAAAAAGTAGATTAGTAAAACGCAATGATATAAATGGCGATAAAAAACAAATTTAGTGTAAATAACATTAACCCACGAACCTAATCGATGAATGTTATGATCTTATATTTTAATAACTTCCAGTTGTATATTCTTTCTTTTTATTTTTTTAATGCTTTCAGAAATGGTTATTTTTTTTTATTTTTTTTATTTAAAATCCAAATTAGTATCATTCAAAATATTAAATGCGAATCGAAATATGTTTTTTTTTTTTTTTAATGTTTTCATTAAAAGATAAGAAATTTTGAACGTAGTCGAAAAGAAGGTTGAATGTTTTTTTTTTAAATTTATTAAACGCAGCGTTTTTTTGAATATTTAATTTGAGAATTTTTTATGCAGGAGTTTATCAGTCAATGTTGCATGAAATAAATTGTTCAATAAATAGATAATGTCCCTCCAAAAAAGTACAATTTCATCAGATCTTTAAATCAAATATGTGGTGCAGTTCAATTTATATTAAATGAATCATTTATACAGAAAATAGATTAGTAAAGTTAATGATATAAAAATGGCAAAAAACATCTTCATTAAAAAAAAATTTATTAAACTTTTCATTAAGTTAATTCTAATTCTTCAAGGAAGACGCCATAGTTCTTTCCCGGCCAAAGCAGCTTTACATTTCGGGCTGGGTTGCGAATACTTTCCAAAGTTTTCATACCATATCAGGACCTTTCACAAAAAACCAATTTGGACCAGAACTTTCTTAAGCCTTTCACCAGCTTTGATATTATGTTATGACCAATTTTTGACCAGTGGCCCTATGCGGAAACGAGTTTTTTTCCCACGAAAAACGACCTTTTGTCACGTTCTTGACCCCAAAATTAGTTGAGATTTTTCCCACGAAAAACGACCTTGTGTCATATCTTGACCTCGTTTATTAGTAAATACCGAAGTTCATGTTAACCTTATAAAGTTCGATGAAGTCTTAAAGTATGAAACGTCTCAAACACAGAATGGTATATATATGTATATATATATATATATATATATATATATATATATATATATATATATATATATATTCATCAAGTTTGCTCTAGATTTTCGGTTTACAGGATTTATAACTTTTTTGATTCCGGAAAAATATGACGAGACGGCCTTGCAAAAAACGAGCATTCTGTTGAGGATTCTTCTAGACTAGGTGTCTTAATATAATGATCATTCTTAGGATTTTTAATCATACACACACACATATATATATATATATATATATATATATATATATATATATATATATATATGTGTGTGTGTTAAAATGTGTGTGTGAAAAAAGGTATTAAATAATATAGACAAATTACGATTATTTACCTTTTCTATTTATTTATGTCAAATTGTAATTCCTCAAGGAAACCGTAGTTTATTGTTAAGCCAATATATGTATATATATAAAAAAACTGTCATAATTTTCACATTTTTACATCAAGAGACCACATTTTCAGTTAAAAAGTAAAAATAAAAAAATAAAACGTGTTTCTTAATGGCTAAAAGAATCTTAGAAATCTATGTTGTTTAACTTTTTCTCGTCCTGTACAAAAAAAATTTCTGAAATTTCAAATAGAAAGAAAAAATAAATTGGAGGAAACAGACCTTGATTGGTGGATTATAATAAAATATGCTTTGGTATATATATATATATATATATATATATATATATATATATATGATATTATATTCATCGACTCGGAAATATAACGAAAATGTATTAAGCACTGGACGACCGTTTCATCGTATTTTGGGGACTCATCAAATGTGCACATCCACTATAAAGAATCGAACCCGTATATCGGTGACAGAGGGATAAAAATTTTCACTCGATATAAGATGAAAAAGAAAAACAGTGCTTTTGCATTCTGTTGAGGATTTTCTTTTTTACTCATAAATATTATTCATTATGACTATTCAAATCAAATTTGATTTATATATATATATATATATATATATATATATATATATATATATATATATATATATATATATATATATATATATATATAATAATTATTTTGTAAAAAAAATATGATTCCTTCAAAATTATAAAATTAACTCATGTTTCAAAAATTGCCGAAACCATCAATATAATTATTAAAATTAAATTGCATTAAAAAACAAGCCCTTTTTTTTTTCAAAATAATAAAAATTTAGGAATCACCCTTTTGAAATTTACGTTTCGTTATAAGCATGTTCATTTGTTACTATGGAAACGGCTGGTGCGACCATTTTTGATAAGGGGCCTAAATATCTAATTTTTATCTATGGTATCACCTTCATGGAGAGGTCAAGCTGGGGTCGGGTGGGAGTGTCTATTTCAAAGCGAATGATGTCTTTCTTGTACGCTCATCGTCTGTTCATTCACAGAGAAAGATACATTTTGTCACTGTAGTATGTCTGATCGCCCCAGCCGTTTCCACAGTAACGAATGAACATGCTTATAACAATACGTAAATTTCAAAATTGGTTATTCCTAAATTTTCGCTTGAGGATGAAACAGGGCTTGTAACTTTAATTCAATTTAATTTTAATAATTATATTGATCGTTTCGGCTCTCGTTTTTCAAACATGAGAACTCTTATGTAGCGAAGGAATCATATTTTTTAAAAAAAGATAATTATAATCTAAGCTCTACTTCTGAATGAAGCACTGTTTTTTTTAAATAAAAACAAAATTACTAAAGACCCCTGGATTATTTACCTAACGTGTTTTTTTTCTAATTTTTAATCATACCCCCCATATATATATATATATATATATATATATATATATATATATGGTAGGCTGACGATTGCATATAGCATGAAACATGCTGTCGCCTCTAAGTGTTGAGTTATATGTTCACTTTTATATATATATATATATATATATATATATATATATATATATATATATATATATATATACGTAACAACAATTGAAACCCCGGTTACTAGCATTAGTAGAGGAAAATGTTTATGTTTTTACGTAAGCTGTTGACTTAGTAGCACGTTTGTTCCTTCTGTATTGAATCTAATAATCTACCACACCGCAACTCTATCCGCGCCATCTTTAGCTCATTCTTATCGGCAGAATTTTAAAAGCAAATCCCAAACATAAATATCCTTCTTTGTTTTGTGCTTTATGCCGGATGTTTGTTAGGCAATATGCTGTCTAATCACCTGCTGTTCCCAGAACTTCCGTCTTATCACGTGCTTACGTCGAAGAAGCGTAAACATCTCTTGTTCTGAAACACCGAATCTCAAATGCAGTTGGGCGATGAAAATACACAACAGTGCGTTGAACAATCAAATGCTGGGTAAATATTATTCCAGCCAGGTTCCAGTTTCAATCGCATATTTTGCAAGATTACCCCACGTAAAGAGTAACATTCGAACCGCCTTCGTAGCAGATCGAATGAAATTCATCTCCCGGAGTCTAAAATTAATTATGCTTTGCGATTAAAGACTTTCGATTACGATAAATAACCCAGGTAGGCAGTTGGAATTTCAATCTCTATATCCGTTCAAGAAAATTACGAATAAATAAGTAAATAAAATAAAATAAAACATAATTTTCACGGCACGCAGGACTTTATCAATATTTCAAGTTCCGCTATGATTATATTTTCATAAGCAGTTTTTTTATGGGGCAAAATTATAAATCCGACGCATTGCTTTTTCACTTGCCTTTCAGGTATTCTTTTCCCTTACAATAGGTTGTTTACAGGAGGTAAAACCAAGCGAAAGATGCGGTTAAATTTTTGATGGAGATATTCAAACTCAAGTATAAAGCAGAGAAATCTTTACCTAGAGACTCACGCGTAATATAAACAAAGGTCAACCGACAGACAGACAGACTGATAGATAGATAGATAGATAGATAGATAGAGAGAGAGAGAGAGAGAGAGAGATAGAGAGAGAGAGAGAGATGAAAACATTGAGAAAGATGGACAGGTAGATATAGTGATTTTCTAAGTGTAGCTTAGATGTAGCACAAGACCAAAAGTAGGGGCACCAAGTGAGGATCGAACTCACAACTCAGTCGTAATTGTTTTAGCGAGATGAGCTTGCTAACCACGGACAGGTAGATATATATGCAAACACTGAGGCAGATAGGTAGATGGACAAGCAGAATGAAAAGTCTGAGATAGATATGAATATACTGATAGATAGATAGATAGATAGATAGATAGATAGAATGAAAGAAAAAAGAAAGAAAGAAAGGAATGACGAAAGAAACACGGAAATAAATTAAGATAGATAGATACATATATATGCATAAAATGAAAAAATAAAGAAAGAAAGAAAGAAAGAAAAAAGAGAGAAAGAAAGGAAGAGAAAAAGAATGAAACACTGGAATAAAGAAACACGGATAGATAGATAGATAGATAGATAGATAGACAGACAGACAGATAGATAGATAGATAGATAGATAGATAGATAGATAGATAAAGATGGTAGGGATTTCCACATCTTATTCCTATGCCAGCAGTCTCCTCACATTTGCATCGTTTCAGCGTCCATGGCCCCTAAAATGAGACCAGCATTCAATTTCACATACATCGTGCATATATAACATATATACTGTGTATCCTTGATTGGGTTGACTGGATCTACATGTCCTACAACTCCCCTGTGTACAACCATACGCCTCTTCAATCCAGGCTGTTGGATTCCGATACACTTATATGACTGTCCTTGTGATTTTCTGAGCGTAAGCTGAGATGCACACATGGCCGAATGTGTGGAGCACCAGTGATGAACGGACTCACTATTTCGTTGTATTTGATCTAGCGAGATAAGCTTTCTACGTGGAAGTGCTTATGATTTTCTCAGCGAAACTTAGATGTAGGACAAGGCCGAAAGTATGTGGCACCCAGTGAGGACCGATCTCACTACTCAGTCAAAATTGAGCTAGCGAGAAAATCTTGCTGACCATTACACCAGACTGAGGTGACACTTGATTTTCAAAGCCTAACATATATGTGGCAAAGGGCTTAAAGTGGAAAGCACCCAGTTAGAATCGAACACTCTATTCAGTATTGATTAAACTAGTGTGAGAAACTTGTTAACCATTACACCACCTCAAATTGCCCAATGTGTGTCTTTTATGTATATGTTCTCGTATAAATAACAACGTAGCTAGCTAAAGAAGAGAGAGTGAAAATTACATTTGTGCTAAAACCGATAACGAAAAAAAGAAAGATGGAAACAATATGTGTGAGTGTGCCACGTGATTTGGGGGAAATCTCGTACGCAATCAGCCCGTGGTTAGAAATCTCGGCCGGCGGAGACACGATCCGTTTCGTCTCTATTGCTATCCCCGAGCAAAAAAGATAAAGAAAGTGTTAGACATTTGCTTTTATTCTGCCTATCGTGATGATGTCACATCGCTTCGTTAAGCCGTTGGTGGCGGGAAGGTGGGGTGCGGGGCTAAAAATAAGTTGGAAGGGACAAGGGAAAAGGTGAAAAAAAAAAAAAAAAAACATCATCGGACTAACGAGAGATGGATCTAGGAATACGCCAAAGTAAATTTATGTGCATTATTTGGACTATTGTCTTTATATTTGTCGCCATATTTATCGCCAACATTTCGGCCGTTGTACGCCTTCTTCAGGTGGTTTCAATATCGAACTGAACCCTTTATTTTGCTCACTAGGGTAGATTGTTCTAGTTCCAATTGCCACGTTTAATATATTTATTTCCTGTGAATTTCCCTCACTGCCTTAACCGGGAATTGAACTCACACTCTTTGCGCCCTGGATCTAATCAACGTCTTTATCCACTATGCTATGTATCCTTGAGGACATTAGTGTATAAATTTCTGGGTATTATAAACCTAATGTCATCAGCAACCATTTTTACCTGTGCTCATATTAAATTTTGATGTTATCAATTATGTTTTTACCAGAGCTGATATTGCAATTTTTTGTTGTTATTATCGCTTTTCTCTGGCACTCCTTATTACATTGCAAAATTCGTAAGCTTAAGGAATCAGCACATATAAAAATCTACTGAGCCGGCCAAACATAGAAATGAATACAATATGGGAACCAGTAATAACCGGTTAAGGTAGTGGAGAACTTGGAGAGGTGAATGAACAGGAGATAACTTATAACTGACACCCATTAAACATGGCACGTGAAACTAGAAAAGTCTACCCCAGTGAGCGAAATAAAGGGTTCAGTTTGAAATTCCAACCACCTAAAGAAGGCCGGAGCGTACAACGCAGCGTATGTATGTATCTATCTATCTATCTATCTATCTATCTATATATATATATATATATATATATATATATATATATATATATATATATATATATATATATATGCGTGCGTGCGTGCGTGTGTGTGTGTGTGTGTGTGAATTATATATATAATTATTAATATATTATATGCGCGGTACTTATTAGAAAGCGCACAATATCAGAGATAGACCTAACATATAGTATCAAACTCACATCAATCCAACCAAATAAATAAATATATATATATATATATATATATATATATATATATATATATATATATATATATATATATATATACGAGGTCTGATGAGGAATTATCGAAGCATAATATCATCAATACGGCATTTAATCCCCTGGAAGTAGTGCACTTAATGAAGCTGCACACATTATCCAGCGTCATTTCAATTAATCGAATCATTCCAGGAATCCATGTTTGGGGATAGCGAACAGCATTCTCTTGAACTTCCAACATAACTTGAAATTTTGGCCCTTTCAAGTTTGATTTGATTTTTGAAAAGAGACTCAAGAGGCGGGATCTGGGGAATATGGCCGTTGTGGAACATAGGAAATGTTGTTCCAACATTGGTGCACAAGTCATGGTCATTTATGGAACATAAGTGGCTCATTGAGACGCCCAAACTCTTCAGCTTTTCTTCCAAGCATTACTATAAAAAAGGGAGCAAGAACGTTATTTGTTTAACGGCACACTTGACAATTGGTTTCATTCTGCATTCCTTACATTCGTTATCATAGCATTAGAACCCGATATTTTATTTTTTTTCATATATATATATATATATATATATATATATATATAAAAATAAAAAGAAAAGAACAAAGATATATAATCCGGTGTTCTTATAGATATTTTTATTTTACAAAATAGTGCTCAATGTAAATTTACACAGCATTAATATTATAAATTGATTTATTTAAAATATGGTTTTCTCGCTACACAGTTCTAACCATGTTTCAAAAATGGAAGCTAAATGCTACGAATTTAATTTTGTAATTAAATTAAATACATTAGTTCCATTTCATCCTCAAGCGAATATATATATATATATATATATATATATATATATATATATATATATATGTGTGTGTGTGTGTGTGTGTGTATTTGAGGCATTTTTATGTTTGTACGTTGTTTTTATAGATCCAAGATTTTAAGTAAATTTTCTGTTTATAATAAACAGTATTAACAAAATTTACCGACGCTTGAGGATGAAATGGAACTAATGTCTTAAATCTAATTACAAAATTAAATTCGTAGCTTTTTGGCTTCCATTTTTGAAACGTGGTTTAACTATGTAGCGAAAAAAAACATATTTCAAATAAATCAATTTATAATATATATATATATATATATATATATATATATATATATGTGTGTGTGTGTGTTGAGGCATTTTTTATGTTTGTACGTTCTGTTTATAGATAGAAGTTTTTTAAGTAAATGCTCTGTTTATAATAACCAATATTAACACCATTTACAGGCCTGAATGTCCGAGAAATTTTCATAGAAAATATGTGTCCTCAGACAGGAATCGAACCTGTATCTTATACGGAACCGTCATATAGCCTGACGTGCTTTTACGATTGAGCCACAGAGGAGCGTTTCGGTTAGCAAGGTTGATTTAACTTTTTTTAAACTACAATTCTCCATGATTTTCTCTTCTACATTTAAATCTGCTCGATGCGTATCCGAACAAATGACGTCACTAATTATGAAATGGACAAAGTCCGACAATCATTTTGAAACATGTTTCATGTTTTATATATATATATATATATATATATATATATATATATATATATATATATAATTGGAATTAAGAGACTTTAGTTAATGACTATATTTCCCCACTACTAACTGATACCATAAACAGTTTTACAAATCCTGCCAATTTTGAAATTAAAATGCGTAGAGGAAAATGATCAGTAAGTAAATGTATCTAAATACCAATTATAAAGAAAATTTTGCTTTTTTTAATGAAAATAAAAATTGAGGGCTTTTTTAGGACTCAGTTTTAACTTATTTCAAAATCTATTTTTGAACTTATTTTTGTAATCAAATCAAAATCATTTGTATTCTGCTTTTTTCCATCATCTTTGTTTTTAAATATCCCTGATTGTGATTACAGAAAATCTTCCAAGAATAGTGATACGTTGTAAGACCCTGGATGCAAATTTATTGTGTTTGAGCTAACGATGAAAGAAATTTCTTTTCTTTTTGTCTTAGCGTATTGTTTGCTCTTTTAATTAGAATAGCAGTTTTTTTTAATGTCAAAATTGTGGTCAGTTTCTCGACTGTGAACAACCATTGTGATTTTATTTTATTTTTTTTAGAAATACTCCTTTGAGTTTATAAAGTGTTTTGTTTAAACTTCTTCAGGCTTCTTTAATGTATTTTTTCGAACAATCCTTGCTGTTGTTAGATTAAATCCACTTTCAGGATCTTTGCTTGTTGTAGTGAGAACAACGTCAACAAAACAAGGCCCGATTAAATCCCAACGGGTGAAACACGTCACAATTTTTTCATTTTGTCTTACAATTTCCTTAATAATATACTTGATATATAAAATATATATATATATATATATATATTATTAACTGATACACACACACACAAAACGCGCACGTATATATATATATATATATATATATATATATATATATATAGAGAGAGAGAGAGAGAGAGAAAGGGAGAGAGAGAGAAAGATAGATATTGGGGCAAATGAATGAAAAATTGATGAGAAATTGAATATATATATATATATATATATATATATATATATATATATATATATATATATATATACATATATATATATATATATATATATATATATATATATATATATATATATATATATATATTACATTATATATTGGGAAAAAACGAATGAATGACAAAGTGGAATATATATATATAAATTAATTTTATATATATATATATATATATATATATATATATATATATATATATATATATATATATATATATATATAGTTTATGAAATACTATGTAATTCATATGGGTAAACCCAAGAGGATAAAATCCAAAGAACTCAATGTAAATACAGACCAAATAATTTAAATAAAATTAAGGTTCCATGTAATAAATTATTTCACCACAGACCTTTTAAAGGACTGCGAATCATCAGACTTTACTTCCAAAGATTGAAAAATATATATATATATATATATATATATA